CATACATACATACATACATACATACATACATACATACATACATACATACATACACACTGCTTACATTTTAAGACTTCCATTTGGTAGATGGACAGTCAGATATAGTAAGTGTGCTTAAATAAATAAATTACAATTTTAAAGAAAAATGAAAATTAAAAAAAAGCAATATTAAATATTTAAACTTATTGTAAAGATGATTAGGAAACATTTGTTAATATAATTGAAAAAACGAGAGCAAATGTAAATCAATAATTAGATGAAGAGTTCTTCAACATTCTTTGTTTCTATGCTAATTTTTCAATAGTGCATATTTAGATTCTTAAATTACATACATTGGTATAGATGTTTTTAACATTTTTTTTCATAAAAAATAAACCCAGATGTGATTCTAAGGCACTGTTCTAATGCCCCCCTCTCTCTTTAAATAGATATAATCTTATTTATATTCCCTTTATTTCTCCACAGAGCACTGGGGATGACTTATAGCAAGATAAAACAGAAATGACAAAATGTATGAATAAAAACAATGTAATTAGAATAAAGGCAAAATTAAAATGTATCATATCATTAAACTAATTAAAAATATATATTTTAGTTTTCCAAAGATTTGCCAAGTTTTTTTCTTGTACCAAAGAGAAAAATGAATTAATTTATTTTGCTGCATACCATACTAGCAATACATGGAAAGTAGTATTAACTGCCAACAGTTGTGAAGTAATTTTCTAAATTTCTTTGCCCAAATAAATAAATAATGAGCATTGCTTCTAGGGATGTTAATATGTGGGGATCTGACTTCAGTTCCTTCAGCACAATCTAGGAAGTATTTGATTGCTATAGTAATTTTAGAAGGATGAAATACAGGTATTCTTCCATTTACAACCACGATTGAGCCCAAAATTTCTGTTGTTAAGTGAGGTATTTGTTAAGTTAGTTTTGCTCCATTTTACAACCTTTCTTGGTACAGTTGTTAAATGAATCACTGCAGTTGNAAACCATTCTTTGATATTACATATGAACAATTCTTCGCAAAAATAGCAATATGCAAGTATCATTAAATTACAACAGCCAATGATGCTGCCTATTTATCCATTTAATTCTTTTCAATGCAGTGTTATATGTATTAAACAAAGGCCATTAAAATAAATGAAATAATTCATTTATACATTTATATTACTCTAATGAAGGCTGTCAAACTCGTGTAGTCATGGTGGCATCACATGATGTATAACAACTTTTTTCCCCCTTCGCTAAACCGGGCATGGGTGTGGCCAGTGTGTGATGCATCTGGTCTGCAGGCTGCGAGTTTGACAACCCTGCTTTAATGAATCCTGATCTAGGAAAAACAAAACCATCTGCTCTACTGCAAGGACAACTGCAATTATCAACACTGACTATGGAGTTTGCTCCAGATCTACTCCTGGTCATGTAGCACCTGAAAAATAGTTTAACATGTGACAAATACGAAAATCACTGAATAAAACAAATTGATGAGAACTAGATAACAGTAGCCACTACATTAAAATGAGCTTCTGCAACAATAGCTTTTACAGCTGAAATGCAGAGATAATACACATTAAAATCCCTTCTCATTCTGGTGGAAGAAAATGAGAAATGGAACTGGCATGGCCTCAGCAGGGTGTCTCAGGCTCAGACCCCCTTGAGGACTTGAAGAAAATAAGATTTTACTTAGGAAAACCAAATGCTAAAAAGTAACTGCACAAAAATTCAAACTTAGATATATACATC